ATTCATAGGGTTGCTATAATACATACTCAACTAACAATACTAATGGTACCTAATAACAAATCTACTGCTAAGTGACTTATAGGTAAGTAGTCAGTCACACTGTCAACCCAAAGATACCAACTGCTCTGGGGGGAAAGACAGTCAGTCTCCTCCCATGCAATTAACTACCTCTGAAAATTTGCTGGAGTATCAGCTGTGAGTCGTTCTTATTCGATAGTACATAACAGCAGCATTAACTGCTTGGGTTTTTTTTTCCCCTTGTGCTTTATCTCTTTCTATTCTTCATTATGTCTCTGTTTCCTAAGAGAGCTAAAACCACTATTACCCAATATGCTCTGTTCTTACCATGTTTTCTTTATCCTCATTCTACCTCTGTTATCTGGTTAATTCTTATTCTTTCTCCTATGACTCAGGAAAGGTTTTGCTTCTAGTAAACACCTATCTTAAAACATATACTAATTCCCTAATTCCACTATTTATCTTTTATCAAGGTATTCATTATACCTTATTATGGGTGCCTGTTTACTTGTATGTTTTTATTCTTTTTATTTAGGATTGTTGTTATTGTTAGGTGCCATGAGCTGAGAATGACTCATAAAGACCTTATGAACAAAACATCTGAACCTTATTCTATCCTGCACCATCATCCTCACACTACCTGACAAACAGCAGTCCATCACAGCAGTCACTGAGTCATTCCACCTGGTCAATGGTCTTTGTCTCCTTCGCTAACCATCCACCCTTCCCAGCATCATGTCCCTCTCCTAGGAATAGCCCTCCTAGCAACATGCCCAAAGTATGTATAGCAAAGACTCATCATTCTTGCCTCCAAAGGGCTCTCCAGATGCACCCTCTCCAAGACATATCTGTTTGTTCTTTTGGCAATCCATGGGGTGTTCAAAACTCTTCTCCAAAACCACAGCTCAGACACATTAATTCTTCTTCTGTCACACCTATTCATTGTCCAGCTCTCAGATGCATAGCAAGTGATCAGAAAGACTATGGCCTGAATCAGATGCACCTTAGACCTCAAACTGATATCATTACTCCTCAATAAATTGGAGATGTCCCTAAATGCAGACTTTCCCAATGCAATGCATCTCCTTATTTCCTGACTGCTGTTACCAAGGGTATTAATTGTGAGCCCAACCAAGATGAAGCTCTAGATAGTTTCAACCTCTTCTTCTTTCATCATGATGTTGTCTATCGGTCCAGTGGTAAGAATCTTTGTTTTCTTGATATCAAGATGCAGTACATACAGAAAGCCACACTCTTCTGCAACAAGTGCTTCAAGTTCTCCTTACTTCCAGCAAGCAAAGTGTGTCATCTGCATAATAATCTTGGTATTACTTGGGATTACTAAAGCTCTCAATGCTTTTCTGGTAAAGGGTTACTGAATAAATTTAACCTAATATTTACTTACTTTCTGCCATGTAGCATGCAAAGCATTACAATTGATACAAAATAACAATCTCAGTTCATACCTAAGATAAAATTGAATTTTATTTAAGGTTTTTGATGTTGAAAAACTCAAATTAAAAGCAAGCAACAGCCTTGCAATGAGCTTCTTAAAATCTGTGTATTTAATGACAAAGTAAATTGTGATTAATTAATATATTAAAATAAAATATAATCAATTTTAAATAAAGGAACAGAAATAGGTCACATAATACAGTGTCTTTCTTCAATATTGTCCCTCACTTACAGTTATTTAAATTTTGAAACATTAATAACAAATTCTCCAAATGTTCTTTTCATTGACAGTTTGGATATTCACTTCAAGGTCACCCAATTTTTTTTTAAATTATAACAAATTTTCAATTTATTTGAAGCAATTCAGTTTCAAAAACTTTTAAGTTACAGCAGTCACAAAAACACCTGGGAATAGTCAGAACCAATAAGTGAATGATCAAGAATATGGCATTTTTGTTTAACACTGTCATGGCTTTATTCAAAACACAGTTGCACAAAAGTATTAACTTCAAAGTTTTAAAAGGAGAGAGTCTTGAGGAACTTAACACTATATACATACTGTCATACAAAGAGCATTAAAATAGGACCAAAAACCTCTACAAAATATAAAACCCACCCTTACTTATTTGCATGAAAATACCACCCACAAAGCTAAA